AGTTGTTGTAGTTGTAGTTGTTGTAGTTGTTGTGGTTGGTGTTGTTGTTGTTGTTGTTGTGGTTGTGGTTGTTGTTGTTGTTGTTGCTGTTGCTGTGGCTGTTGTCGTCGAAGTTAGGGTAGTTAAGTTAGTGAAGTTAGTTAAGTTAGTCAAGTTAGTTAAGTTAATCAGTGTCTACTTTTTCGACATCTTCACGTCAAAAAAAGGCTCAAAACCCTCAGTTTTTTACACTTTTGACTTCGAAATGTGCTTCGCGCCACAACGGCGTGCACTTTTTCGACACTTTTTCGACATCTGAACCTCCAAAAGTGGTCCGAAACCCTAGTGTTTTTAACATTTTGACTTGGAAATGTGCTTCGCGCCACAACGGCGTGCACTTTTTCAACATCTCAACTTCCAAAAGTGGTCCGAGGTTGCGGTGTTTTGTACATTTTGACTTGGAAATGTGCTTCGCGCCACAACGGCGTGCACTTTTTCAACATCTCAACTTCCAAAAGTGGTCCGTTTTGTACATTTTGACTTGGGAATGTGCTTCGCGCCACAACGGCGTGCACTTTTTCGACATCTCAACTTCCAAAAGTGGTCCGAGGTTGCGGTGTTTTGTACATTTTGACTTGGAAATGTGCTTCGCGCCACAACGGCGTGCACTTTTTCAACATCTCAACATCCAAAAGTGGTCCGAGGTTGCGGTGTTTTGTACATTTTGACTTCAAAATGTGCTTCGCGCCACAACGGCGTGCACTTTTTCAACATCTCAACTTCCAAAAGTGGTCCGCTCCTCTAGTGTTTTGTCCATTTTGACTTGGAAATGTGCTTCGCGCCACAACGGCGTGCACTTTTTCATGTCTCGTCTGGCCAGCTGGCTCCGCACCCGCCGCTTTAGCAAGCCTACTTTTCGACCCTCCGGAGCCACAAATCATTGGAAAAACACAGTGAATCGCGACTTTCCTATCTTTTCGCGCATCTACCTCTTCTTTCTTCTGATCTTGTCTCTTCTGACTCTTCTCACCTCTGCTTTTCAACTGTCCATATTGTCGGAAGTTTCACTTCTAAACTTCCTTCGATTAATATCGTAGTGATATTATGGATGATGTATATGGGTAATCAATAGGGAAAATGAACCAACAGACATTATAATTGTGATATGATAATATCACCATATTAGGGATTTAACAGGATTGAACCAACACGGTGAATCATGGTGACATCGATGATATTAACCTGGGTTTTTCAATGTTTTCAAACGTGATTACGCTTCGGTATTCAAACGTGGCAAGCTGGGAAATACCCCATAAATGTTTTTTTTTTTTTACCTGGAAAATCATTTATAAATTTAAATGATTTTCCATTGCCATGTTTGATTACCAGAGGGTAATAGCGATTTGATTTAACTGTGACAAACATGGTGATATCAATGAATGGGCCCCATACCCTGCCACAACGATACAAACAAATATGGAAAATCTACAAAATCCACCCTGTAAACTTTCAAAACATGTGGGCACCACAGGTTTTTCCACATCTATGACGAATCTTTGACATGGGGATATAAAGGAGGAATATGGATGAAGATGAGGGAGTTGGCAACTAATAAGGATCAATAAGGTTTGTCAGGGAATTACCAACAAATTGGGGATATTTTCTCGGGATATTTCCAGCAACATCGAGATTCAATGGGATAATCTGCGGGGATTCACCAGACAGATTCGGGTTGGCACCAGGTGGATATCAATTGTAATAGATTTATATCACATTTGGATCTATTGGCGATAACCTGTGCAATGAATCAACAAAAATTGTTGATCCAGGGCCCAGGGTCGACATTGGTATGACGCGACAATAACATGACAGGTGTGTAATAGTCATGCAGTAACAATAAACTGGATTTGAAAGCCAGTGGATTACTCATAACTGGGATGATCTCAAGGTAATGATTCAATGCTTTGGTAATAATTGCCATAGTAAACCCAGTGCCTCCAAGGCACTGGCAGTGGCCAAATTCTGTCTCTTGGGCGCCAAGAAGGGCATGTTTTTCGCAAAGGCCAAGGCTGCCCTGTCGTTGGCGCCTTGATGAACGCTGGGCGGAAGAACGCTAGATGAAGTAACCACAACGAACAAATAAGGGCGTCCAGGAAAAGTGGATTGCTAAATCCACAAGATCAGTTATTTAAGAAGCACCATACATGTGGGTTTTATCGCAAGCGTTTTGGTTTAGCCAAGAAACATGATTTCATGGGCCGAAATTCGCTCTTGACGGGCTTTGACCACACAATTTGTTTTTGCTCCATCAAAGCGGCTCTGAATTTGCTTGCTGGCCTACCGTTTTTCAGTCACTTTGCTCCGTATAGATATGCGGTATCTACGTATGAAAAAACTATTTGCCTTACTTCGAGTGATCCCCACCCTGACACTATTCTGACATTCTTTCTGGCATTCTCTCTGGCATCTATTCAGACATGTATACTTTCTGGCATCTCGACATTCTTTCTGGCATTCTACGTGACATCTATTCATGACAGACTTTCTGGCATATATTCTGACATTTTATCTGGCATATATTCTGACTCAGACATTCTTTCCCGCATTATGTCTGGCCCTTAATTTGGCATGTCCTCGGCGTGGCCCACTATGGTGGAATGGTCGAGAGCTTGCCTACCATCTCGCTGATGCTCCAGGGTATGACATCCGTTTCCACAGGATATAAGTTGTCCTTTCTCTTGCGACGCTCCTGTGATCTTCTCTCCGTTTGTAATTGAATGGGAAATTTCCATTTGCGACTAACAAAATTGATCGGGTGTGGCGGGAGATTTCCTTTTACAAATTGACTTGTTAGATTCCTGGATTACAATTCCTGGGTTACAAACGGAAAGAAAATGATCTAAACGTTGTAACTGCGAGAGGCGGGTTTCATTTGTTCTGTTCAAGTGATATTTGACCGGGTGATCTTCACCCCGAGAACGTCCGAGAACCGTCTTTGTTGAAAACTAGAGACCCTCACCTGGCAGGTGTGGAACAAAATGCAGGACACTTAGGTTGACCCTATTCACAGAGACAGGATGTGAACCAGACATGAGGTTGACCATGTCACCATGTCTTCACCAGTTTGTGCCCGGCCCGGCAATCTCAGGAAGCCTACATGAAGAACCCCTTTAAGCTCTTTCGGCGGCAGGTCATCAGTCCTTTGGATCCCTTTCGGCGGCAAAAAGAAATGTCCACGGTGGAAGCTATGCGCAGCTGGGCAATCCAACATGAGACATTCTGTATACTGTATATTGTATATATACATAATATAAATATATAGACTATAGATGTGAGTAAATGTATCTATAGATGATCTATAGATATATGATATGTGTATACATATTCAGGATTTCTTTTAACAGCGGGCCAGATATTAAGGTTCAGAATGCACAGAAAAATGTTGACTGTTGGGAGTAGACAGTACCATTTTGGGGCACCCAAAATGGATCATTCGACCCAGGCTGTCGCTAACTTATAGTGTTTCCCATGGCCCACCATTTTTTGGGCATTTTTACGACAGCCACTTTTGAAGAGTTCCACTCATTGGAGATTTGATAGAAAGTCAATGAAAACTGAGACTGATTTGTTGTTCATAGTTCCTCCATCCAGCAGTGCCGTGCATCCGAATCTCTCTCTGTCCCCCTTTTTCCCAAGGCAAAGAAGTGCGCGAAAGTGGGCTGAAAGGTCTTTCCACGAAAAGCATCTTGCCCTACGCGGCCAACGCCGGGATTGCCATGGTCATGTTCCACACCTACACCACCACCCGGCTGATGCTGCACAGCTGGGCTGACAGCTATCCATCCCTGGCACCCTTGGCAGAGATGCCGCTCTGTTGCGAGGCCTTGGCCGGTGCCAGCGCGGGGCTGATGCAAGCGACGTTGCACAGTCCTTTATACAACGTGCGGCTCTGTCGCGATGATGAGATTCTGAACTGGGAAACATATATTATTGTTTTTTTAATGCTTTTTTCATTTGGGTGTATGAAGCGAACTCTAGAGTTTCAAAGTTTGACACCCATATTAGGATCCATGTTTGAGAACATATTACATCTTCGTCGTAGACTGAAAATGAATACAAGCTAAAGGTTGAAATCCTAGGTTTGGGCATTAACAGGGTACAGATAGCGTGCATACGTAGTATTGTTTTTTTTTTGGTCTTTGTGTGTACTTGTTTTGGGACACTTCTTTTGATCAATGATCGGGGTTGTTTGAGCCGAACATGAAGCAGGAACAAATCATGAGGTACTTTCAGGTACTGGTATTTGATGAGCTTCAGGTCTGAAATTAAACATACCAAAACAGCTTTACCTTCCTATGGCAGTATCAACAACTGTTGAAAACACGGGGGGGAACAGCTCCGGGGATAGCTGAGGATCGCAGCGAATCGCGATCAGAAAGCCCTGGGCCAGAGATTGGTGGAACTTCATGCCAGAGCGGGCATCAGAGGCTGAGCCATGCCATGTCCCAGAGAAATCCCCAGAAAAACACCAGGTTTGACGGTTGGATTCATGTGAAACATCATTAAACATCATGGCTAACCTGTGGCCAAAGTTTGTGGATATTCAAGATCATCCCAAAGCACTGTGGCGCAACGCAGCTCCAAAAAGGTGGCTGATCTACAGCAAACCATGTCGATTTTTCCGTGATTTTCTGATGGTGCTTAGTAGGGAATGGGGGAATGGGATGATAGTTGTTACATGTTGTTACTATGGGTCATTCCCCTATTCCCTAGTCAGTTGATACAGTAGTTGTTTCTATGGGTCATTCCCCTATTCCCTCGTCAGTAAGTTTTGCGAGGATGCTTTCAGAACTATTCCTTCATCATGGCCCAAGAAGTCTTGGCGTTGATGAGTTTCTTTACCAGCTACGAGTGGCTCAAATTGAAAACCACCAGTTGGCTGCGGCACCAGTTGGATGACTCTGGAGAGAAGGTGGGAGGATGATCCCAAGATGGTCGGATAGCTTGAACCCCCCCTGGTTGAGATGGGACAGATGGGACTCCATCTTGGGCTTCAACAACTTGTTAAACGTGGGGACGGTAGATTCCCAATGTTGCTGGTTAAATCGTCATTTTGATATTTTGGATGATTAAGATATTTTTTGGCTATGTCCAAACATTGGGTAGCACCAAATCCATTCCAAATCTATTGGTTGATCATCATTTTACCTATTCAATATATTGCTGATTATTTACATCCCCTAAGATTATATGTCCATAAAATGGCTGGTTGATGATTGGATTCCCAAGTTGTGACAGCCACCATCTTTGCAAAATCACATCCCCATCCCCAAGAATGTATCCCCGTTAGGCAGGTGATATCCTCATTATATTTACAGTACATATCCTCACAAGGTGATGCCCCAACTTATGGTAATATGGATGTTCTTGGTAGCAACATAAACCCACACACATTAATGAGGGGCACCTTATACATCCCCTTAAAATGGTTGGTTTTGTTCGTTTCTTCCCATTCCATTCCCATTCTTGCAGGATATCATCAATATCCCCAGTAGATTCCCATTATATATATTATATTCCCGTCAAATCCTTCATGATTATCCCCACTATTCTCCCATTATATCCCACAAAACTCCTCTGGGAATAAGGGGTCTATCCTCACATCAATCCTCTATATAATGGGAATATTGACTCACATTCATGATAGTCCCATGACATCCCCACCATATCCCCACCGAATCCCCACCATATCCCATATAAATCCTCTATTTTTCACCGCATCTCCAAGCTCCCTGGCTCCCTGGCCCAGGACGTTTGGGGTTGGACCATCGCCGCCTGCGGCTCCGGCGTGGTCCTGAGCGCCGTCGGCACGCCCTTTGAGAATCTGCTGGCGTGGCATGTGGCGGAGCGCAGCAAAGCGCAGCCCAGGGGATGCTGGGACCGGACACTTTTTTTGTTGGGGGTGTATATATGTGTACAATATATATGTGTATAATATATATATATATGTATGTATACATAATTACATGTAGTGTATATATATATATATACCATTATATACCTATACATGTATACTGTATACATATTATATTACTATTGGGATATGATTTATATCTATGTTTATTTATAAGCTACAAACATGTATTGAAAGGCGAGCAGAATGAGAGAATTGGATGGCCATGGAGCCTTTAGCCCTGCTTGTGGTTTGTCAGGGACTGTTGCCAGTCCCGCGAAAGTGTTGCAATATACATGTTATTCTTATCCATGAAACCTGTCTGTGAAACATAAACTTCTACTACATTTAGAATCGTCCTGATAATATATATATATATATGTATAAATATATATATATACTGCACGATATTACAATTCTATTACACATCTATTACACATAGAATCTATACTTCGAGATCCCAGGTAGTTTTGTTTTTTGTCCTTAAGGTGTATGGAAGCATTTCCTGAAAGAGCCCTCACGTTCGCGTCGCAGCATCCTCTTTGGTGGCATGAGGAGCAAACTGCTGATCGCACCTCTGGCTGGGCTTCCTTTGTTGGCTTATGATCCTTGGAACATCTTAGAACTGCCTTGGCTGTTTAAAAGCCACCATGGAATGCCATGGATTCATCAGATCTGCGATGGGATTCAAACGTAGAAGGATTCCCTGATGGATCAAGATGGGCCATTGCAGGTCAAACGTATTCCGTTCTAAACTTCAAATCAACAACTGAGCCAGACAAAAATCATCACTGATACCTTAACTTCCCCCAATTCCTCAGGAAATCATGGTACATCAAGGCATGGCTCCGCGATTTCATCCTTGACGTCGCCGACGTGACATCGTGACGTCGCCAACTTGGTGGATGGCCTGGGGTGTGTCGCGCGGCACAGCCTGGTGATGTCGAAGGACCATCAGAAAGCGGGAACTGAAGCAGCGACTGGAGCAGCTGGAGCAGTGTCCAAAGTGGACGTGGTGAAGATGTTGGGTGCGACAGTGCCAAAGGATGGAAACGGGGATGGAAAAAGGGTGCTGTGACGTTGACCAAGGATTTGGATTTGGTGAGGATAGGACGAATATAGTAAGAATTATCAATTCAAAACAGGTTTCCTCTTGTAGTCTTGTTACACTGAGGCTCACTGTTCCACTGCATGACATAATGAGCGGGATCATCACAGCGACCAGGCAACAATGCACATGTGTCTTGTTGATCCTCTGTTCTGTTGGCTAAGACCCCAGTTTCTTGGTTCAGGCTGGGCTTAAAATAACATGTTTTTCATATTCTTGTGGGTGGGTCAAATCCACGTTTCTGTTGGCTAGAAATCTATTCAAATCCTACTCGTATGATGCGCTATTATCAGCCCACAAAAATGATCTATGATCTCGTTCTTCGTAAAAATCCACATCAAGATCCCTTCAAACTATTGGCTCACAGATGGAGGGTAAGAGCCCCCAACAACGCAGAATTTCGCTGGTTTAGATTGTTATAGTTAGATTTTGGATTTTGGCCCAGTGTCGATGCTTGACATCCCATTTTCCTTGGTTTTTCTGAAGATTTTCTTCTTGAATTTTCCTGGTAGTCACAGAAATAGGGAATCTACTGGGGTCATCATGTTTTTTTTGGCTTCCTTATCTCAATTGTTGAACAAAATCCAAAAACAGATCCACTCAAGCAGATTGAAATCCGTTGACATCCCCATTTTTCATCATTTTTTCCGGGCAAAATCCAAACTTCCCGCATTTCCTTGGCAAGAAACCGCAGCATCGAACGGTCCTTGTGAGGCCCTGCTGCGCCGTGGCGCACGGCAGCGCGGATTTGGAGCTGGTGCTGCCCATGCATTGCAAGGCCGCTGGTGATGACTGGTGTGGTTCACCATTGGAACTGTGGCATCCCCAAACACCATTGGTTTCAATATGTTTCAATTCTAAAGTGGTCTATATAATTATGCATGATTTGGAGGGTACCCATATTTTAGAAAGCTTCCTTGTCGCTATTGAGTAATAGCTTTAATTAACTACATATAACTACGGTCCATATAACTACCATTTTTTCTGAGATGGACATCCACTTCCCAGCTATTTCGGTGTTCACCAGGAGTATCGGGTCTTGACCCATCCCCACACATTGGGGGTATACTTCTCTAGATATGCCTATAATTAATGGACTAGTGATATAACATGATATAACTTGACATTCGTGGATTGTCATCATGCATTGCCCTCCTGTGTTATCAAGCATGGCTAGAAAATCCTCAGGACCCGAGGATGTTCACTGATTGTCCCAGCAACCCCCCACTTGGTTAAAGGACTTCTCACCATGTTTGACCAGTGGGGCCCAGCGGGGATATCATGGGCTGATCCGGACGCGACCAATGGTTGGAGGCTTGAAGTCTTGGTACGATAGGGATTAACGAAGCCAAAACCTTGGGCTCTACCTGAATATGGAGGAGAAACATGTTCTGAAAGGCATGATGAAACATGACGCATGATGAAACATGACAAAGCCCAGACTAAAGTCTATCATAGTCTATCATAGTCTATCATAGTCTATCATAGTCTATCATAGTCTATCATAGTCTATCATAGCCTATCATAGTCTATCTATCTTTCTTTCTGTCTATCTATCAATCTATCTATATATCAATCTATCGTTCTATCAATCTATCTATATGTCTATCTATCAATCTATCTATATATCAATCTATCTTTCTATCTTTCTATCTATTTATCTATCTATCTTAGCTTATCTTATCTAATCTTATCTATTTTTATCTAATCTTTTCTAATCTTATCTAATCTTATCTAATCTTATCTAATATCATCTAATCTTAATCTAATCTAATCTAATCTTATCTAATCTTATCTAATCTTATCTAATCTTATCTATCTTATCTATCTTATCTAATCTAATCTAATCTAATCTAATCTTATCTAATCTTACGAAAACTTATCTAATCTTATCTAATCTTATCTAATCTTATCTAATCTTATCTACCTATCTACCTATCTAGCTATCTATCTACCTATCAAGCTATCTATCTACCTATCTATCTACCTATCTATCTATCTACCTATCTATCTATCTATCTATGTATCTATCTATCTATCTACCTATCTATCTATCTAGCTATCTGTCTATCTATTTCTCTTTCATCTGTCTATCTGTCTAGCTGTCTACCTGTCTATTTGTCTGTCTATCTATCTATCTATCTACCTACCTACCTAATCAATCAATCAATCTATCTATCTATCTATCTATCTATCTATCTATCTATCTATCTATTTCTCTATCTCTCTCTCTATCTATCTATCTATCTATCTATCTATCTATCTATCTATCTATCTATCTATCTATCTATCTATCTATCTTATCTATCTTATCTATCTTATCTATCTTATCTATCTTATCTATCTTATCTATCTTATCTATCTTATCTATCTTATCTATCTTATCTATCTTATCTATCTTATCTATCTTATCTCTCTTATCTATCTTATCTATCTTATCTATCTATCTATCTTATCTATCTTATCTATCTTATCTATCTTATCTATCTTATCTATCTTATCTATCTTATCTATCTCTATCGATCTTATCGATCTTATCGATTTATCGATCTTATCTATCTGTATCTATCTTTATCTATCTATCTATCTATCTATCTATCTTATCTATCTTATCTATCTTATCTATCTTATCTATCTTATCTATCTTATCTATCTTATCTATCTTATCTATCTTATCTAACTTATCTATCTTATCTATCTTATCTATCTATTATCTATCTTATCTATCTAACTTATCTATCTTATCTATCTTATCTTATCTATATCTATCTTATCTATCTTATTTATCTAGCTTATCTAGCTTATCTATCTTATCTATCTTATCTATCTTATCTATCTTATCTATCTTATCTATCTTATCTATCTTATCTATCTTATCTATCTTATCTATCTTGTCTATCTAGCTTATCTATCTATCTTATCTATCTTATCTATCTATCTTATCTATCTATCTTATCTATCTATCTTATCTATCTATCTTATCTATCTATCTTATCTATCTATCTTATCTATCTATCTTGTCTATCTATCTTATCTATCTATCTTATCTATCTATCTTATCTATCTATCTTAGCTATCTATCTATGCTATCTATCTATGCTATCTATCTTATCTATCTATCTTATCTATCTATCTGTCTATCTATCTATCTATCTATTCATCTATCTATCTATCTATCTATCCATCCATCTATCACTCACATATACTTATATGTGACCAACTATTTTCAACAGTAACGGCAACACAAGCATAGATACGCCAATTGGATGGTAAATGGAACCAGCAGCAAAATAGGGGATCATCAGCCGCATCAGCCCAGGGTAGCACAGCTGAGTTAATTCGGTGGACTTTCAAAGCTTGGTGAATGGTTACGTTGACCCCAGGTTGAACCATACATGGAGGGTATCTACGGTATCTCACTTGGTTGTTTCTTTGTAGGGTATCCAAGGTCAAATAAGGTAAGCCATGACTGGTCAGATTTCCGAAAGCTCATAACCAGTAGAGAGATGGCAGAGTCTCAGACTGCTGTATCTTTCTGGACATTGGCCATGGCTTAAGGTTTGCAGGATACGCCCCAAACAAAACCAGAAACCATGGTCCATGTTTTTTTTTTAGTATAAGATACCCAATCTTATAGTACCAGTTAAGATATTCCCATGTTTAAACTCTATATTGATGTTGTTACATTATAATATCCCACAATATTCCCTTGAAAATCTAAAGTAATGTTGTTACTATTTAACATCCCAATGTTCAATATATACATATATAAATCATATATATATATGGGTTATATGTATAATTATACATATAGATTATAGATGTTAAGTTAAACAACACTAGAAATATATATATATATAGTAATTTCTATATCATTTTTGTTGTCATTCAAGCACCTCTTGGTGGTTTGTCTTCAAAAAAACACAGCTCTGCCAGGCCTTGGGATTAGAAGTTCCCAGCGTCCTTCAGTGCCTGGGATCGTTCGATTGACGGGTGAAAGCATTGTTCAAGCCAGATATTTTGCTAGTGGTTCAGTGATCAATGTAAAGATCATGATGGGATATGATGGGTAATATATGTTTATAATTGATTATAATTGATTATAATTGATTGTAATTGATTGTAATTGATTATAATTGATTGTATATGGACATAGACTTAGATTATATCATGATTTGAATATACGATATTATAAGAGAATACACTGGGTTGGTTGTAAGTTTTATGAACCAAAAAAATACACAATGATTTTGTTGATATTTGTCAATGGTCCCCCCACTTTTGGTGGTATTGTTGGTATGTGGTTGACCATTGGATGCCAAGGATTCTCCTAGGTCCAACGAAGGTTCAGGCCGTGCCCATGGCCATGCTGAAATCCCATTTGGTTATGACTAACAGTTCGCCGTATAGATGGCCCATAGAAATAGATGCTTCACCGTTCTTAAAAATGGTGGATCTTTCCATGGCTATAACCAGATGGTACGCCATTTTTTCAGAAACGATCCCCTGACCCAAAGAAACTGTGGAAATCCAAAAAGGACCTATTCAGATCTACGGCTGGCGGCGCAACGACACGTCTTCCAGCAGGGGCGGATCGGTGACCCCGTTTTCGGGGAGGGACTCCGTTGGTGGATTGAGATGGATGATCAACGACGAAACTCAGGAGGCCCAAATGAATTGATGCGTGGCTTATTGTTTTTTGATGGCTTGAGCGTGGCTTGATCGTTGCATCCAGTTTTTGGTGAGTTGCATCCCAATGTTTTCAGGTACTCGAGCCTCGAGTCTCAAGGATACTGTGGACATCGTGCAGTGTTCATATTATGCTATGGATTCAACTGGAGCTGGATTTGATCCAAAACCTCTGCTGTTTGATGGCCATTAAGACCCATGGTTTTCCACATTTTTCCAGCCTTTTTAAGCATGCCGAAGCCCATGGGTCAACCCTACGCGTTCAGCG